CCTAATGGTCTCTTTTGTTGTCAATTCAATCAATGCCTCCCAACCTGACCAAATTGGCCATTACAAATCAAAATCAAACGACCGTTTTTAAAATGCTAAAATGCATGTCGCTTACAGATCGAATAGTACAATTGAGTACTTATTTAATCACTTCATTTCTAATTGGTTTTGCTTTGCAATTGTATCACGAACTAGAATCAAAATAATCAGTTGATTCATTTATGCTCAAGAGTTTGGCAGTTCATATGATGAGATAAGGCGATACATAACAAGCTTGTCAAGTCATGAAATTGATAAGATCAAAATGGCATGTACATTCCAAACGGTATTGTTCCTGTGCCATCTTATGGTTGTCCTATCTAGAAAAGAATCTGCTAACATAAACATTAATACAGAATGCGAATCGGTAAATGGCAAGGATACTTTCAATTCTATTGCTAGGGCTGTATTTTAACTGCAAACAGAAATGACAGATTGAAGCTCTGTTGAACAGATAAAAGTTATACCAGGGCAAGAAAGATCCCTAACGGTCGAAGAGTGAACCATGTCTTGGATGAACTATATACCATTTAATAATCCAAACAAGTGCCCGGTCCTAGCTGTCGAAAGAGTGCCAAAGAGGAGCTTAAGATACAAGAGGGACAGTCAAACTCATAAATCAAAAATTAACTGACAATGCCATGGCTAAAAAATAAAAAGCCAAACAGACAAACAATAGTACAAAAGACACAATATAGAAAACTAAGGACTAAGCAACACAAACCCCACCAAAAACTTGGGGTGATCTCCGGTGCTGCTCAGGAAGGGTAAGCAGATCCTGCTCTACATGTGGCGCCCGTCCCGTCGTGTTGCTCATGTTATTACAAACCCGGTAAATAGTCTAATCCGGTAGTTCACATTCGTGGTGAAAAGAGAAGTGGATTGTAGTTACGACATAAAGAACAGATATCATCCGTGAAACGGATATTCAAATGATCTGTGATATACTAGATATCCTGTTCCGAAAGTTGTAAAGCTCAACCATACTAGTACTCAGTTTGGGTTTTGTTGAGACTTTTGTTCAGAGAAGTTGTTAAATTTCCACTGGAAGTTTTGGTATATGCTAAAAACAATGCTTAATGCACTGAAGGAAACACATGATCAGTTCAATGACGTGTCCCAGAAATAGATGATTCTGTAGACGTCAGTCGAAATCTTATAACAAGGTTGTATGGTCCGAAAGAAAGCCCAAATGCTGCTATAGCAATTTGAACAACTTCCAGGTTAAATTTAATCTTGCGTCGTAATACAGTACATGATACATAAGGCACGAAGATGGAATTGTTACTGATCAGCTGAATTATATATTGTAAAGGCTAGGATCCTACAAATGAATGCAAGATACAGTCACAGAAATAATTATGTTTATAAGTACGTCTGAACCAGTGACAACTCTACAACAGATTTATCCATCGGATCACCAGCAGTGATGGTGATACACGGCTGACAATACATTCTGTAAATATAATTCATCTAAACATCAGCCCAACAATGTTAGATCTGTAAATTTGCTTTCGCAAATTTTTGTTCTTCCCTCACCAGGATTCGAACTCATGCTACTGAGATATCTTGACACCAAATATCCGACACACTAGACCACTCGGCCACCTAGGCTTCACAATAATAAAGCTTTCGATGGCCACTGTTTCAACTGTAGATGTTTATATATATATATATACTTCAGTCCAGAAAACGTAAACTTTAGCGCAGAGGATGTTAATTGTACAGATAAAAATAACTAAGTAGTCCTGCATGGAAGATATTTAATCCAACATTTTTCTGATTTTGAAGCCAAAGTGTACTCTTATGAAGAGATTTTTTTTTAATGAAGAAGTAAATCTTTTGCAATAGATCCATTAAGGAACCAAACTTTTGCCATTTATAATAATAATAATAATAATAAATTCTTTATTTAAAGAGGGTAAACTCAGTTAGTTACAATAAACTAATCTTCCCTGAGGCCCTTAACGTACACTATAAGGTACGGGAGAGATCTGCATTTATTTTTGTTATCTGCTTGACCAGAACTTTGTTTTCATCACACTGGGGATCCCAAAACCCCCTTAATGAAATTAAATAGTTGTTCCCTTATAAATAAAAAGCTGAATTTCAAAGCCATACATGTATTTGGTTGAAAGTGAACTTGTCCAAGAGTTGTTAAATGCATATTTATGACGGGAAAATGATATATGAGATTTAAAAACTTTTAAAACTTTGTACTAGAATGAGGCACTGGGTCGGTTTATTTAAAGAGCTAGTTCTTAAGGTAAGTCGAATAAACTCATCATTGATACAAGGATTGAAATTTTGTATTTGGGCTAGACGCCCATTTTGTCTACAAAAGACTTATCAGTGACGCTCGAATAAAGTTCGAAGTTGAAGAGTTGCTACACGAATACATTATTCTGACTCCTGGAATACAAGATTTTCTTTTACACCTGATTAGCGGAAAAGCAGCTAAAACTAATTTTCAATTGATAGGTTTTATCAGGCACCAGTCTTAAATCCACGATCTTTTTTCCCCAATAAAAAGTTCTATAACTTTCAGAATAAATCTTGGTAAAACTTATCAATTTATTTTTTTGTAAGAGATGCATGGAAAGGTGGAACAGTATCTGCTTCCCTTTCTGTTTTTTTTTTTTTTTTTTGGTAGGGGTTTTGTTACTAAGTTTTTGATGTTGTTTCGTGTAGACTCTTTGTCTTTTTGTAGTTTTAATAAATTTCAGCACTCAGGTTTATTGCCGTAGTCATGGGTAGCCTCTTCATGGGGTGTTACATGCAGAACGATTTTTCGTGCCCTTTCGCAATATGCAAACATTCAAATGTGTCCCTGTAGAGCTTATACAATCACAATAACCGCCTTTCGATATATAGTATTCTTCTGTTACCCATTCTAACATTGGATTCGGACTTCTTTTTACTATACGTATTGCTGTGTGTTTGTTTATTTCACATTGGCTAGATGTATAGAGGTAAGATCTCACTAAACATGTTAAACATGCCGCATTTGTGCGACTCTCCTAAGTCAGGATTATCTTGCCTTTGTTAGTCTTGTATGGTTTTTTCACTTCTAATTTTGGTTCATTTATATGTTTCGAAGATTAATTCATATTTGTTGAGGATGAACTAGGATACATACAAATTGTTTAGATGCAAGCAAAAACCCACCTGTGGGATATCCTCGCTTCTTTTCTGAATCAAATTTAACTTTAAAAAATTTAGCATTTCGCAAATAATACACGCTTTTAATATCTGAAAATAAAGAAAAATAGTGTCAAATACACTTACGTCCGATACGTTGCTTTTGTCAGATACATGTGTATATATGTCTCTGCTTATGTTAACCACGATCACACATATTTGTGTGGGAATTGTTCAAGCATGAGTTTAACGATTAATATTTTAATGAAATTATTGAAGAAAGTTACTTTAAATTTATCAGCAAATTGTCAACGTGGATCATCAAGATTTGCAAGTCAAGGATGCTTCAATGGTTTAAAAAGTAATGTGAAAAGATAAACAAACAAGTTATGAAGCAACCATTTAACTTAAAAAGGGGGAGGGGGTTATGGTTTTAAAGTCAGAATCATTTTTTTTTAGTTTTTCAACACTATCAATCAATTATTTCTTTTCAAAATTTTAACACTATATTGTATGTGGAAAATCGGGATTCAGATTTTTTTTTTTAATATGGCTAGACCACAATATTTTTTTTCATCAAATTAGGAACCAGAATATTTTTTTAGGAAAAAAGAACATAACTCCCTTGAAGTTAAATGCTCGTTCTCTTACGCTCAAAGTAAAAACGAAAAGCTTAGTTGTTTTTAGAAAATTAAACTGTCTCTCTCTCTGTGATTTATGTTTTTAGAAAATTAAACTGTCTCTCTCTCTTTGTGTGATTTAATTGTATATAATAGAAAAAGGCAAAGGTCTAGAATTGGAGGCTAGGAATGTGTCTGTTGAGAAGAGGTACTCTGGTGCGCCTCACTCCTGAATCTGCACTTGAGTTTTGATTAAAGATCAACTAATTATTTACATATAGATCGTTTAGTTCATTTACATACACATTTTAACACCCCTTTTTTGCCCCTTAATACCAAATGGTTTGAGCCATAACCCCCCCAAAGCCAATTTTAACCATCCCTTTGTGGTAAGGAAACTTGTGGTATAATTTCAGAGAGATCTATACACCATTCCACAAGTTATTGTCTGGAAACTAGATGCTTACTTGAGCCTCTTTTTTGCCCATAATTCTTAAACTGTTGGGACCATAACCCCCAAAATCAATCCCAACCTTCCTTTTGTGGTCATAAACCTTGTATTTAAATTTCAAATTTCTATTTACTTATACTTAAGTTATTGTGCGAAAACCAAATGTCTTCGGACGATACGACTTGATACCAATATAGTACTTACAAGATTTACTGTACCAATGATCTTAAGCTGCAACAGATGTGTACTTCGACAACTCATATTAACAAATGTATGTCTCTTCAGTGATTTTCAAAGCCAAAACCTAACACAAACACAGCAGAGCTGATAAAACCATAGGAAGCAAGTCATTTCGCACCTCTGCCATTTCGTACCCAACATTTACCATTTCGTACCCACGATAATATCCATTTCGTACCCTATAGGCTAAATGCATCTACCATTTCGTACCTCATGGACTTAAAACATGTTAACTATTTCGTATTATATTTGTAAAGTTTTTCATAATTTTAATGTTAATGTTTAAATTTTGCATCTAGACGTAACAATTTTATAAAGACCAAGGATTGGTTTGATTAAGCAGCACTTGGAAACTTTAGTAGTTTTAATTACACTTTGTTTGTTTGCAGGATTTGATCTTAATTAATTATATATTAATTGTTAAACACTAAAAGTTTGAGGTTAATTAACCAACAAAGAAATAATTATCTTCAACTGTTTTCATAGTAATTAATAGTTGTATTTGTTAGGAAATGCAGTGAAAAGGGACACAAGCTGATTTTTACTCAAGAAGGAAGCCGTGAGTCAAAGTGTTTGCATAAGTATTTGCACCTTATGTGACCAATCGAAGAACTTGCTATGGCTTTTAAATTTTAGAAATTACAGACAGCCAATAGATTATTCACAGTCTAAGCAAAATGCCGCAACCAATGCCTTCAAGCAGCACAGATAGTCAATGATGCCATGGTTAGTCATTCCGACCACACAGCACCAGCAGGTAGCAGCCCTTATGTACACAACCTTCAGAGGTCCACTTACCGTCTACGTGAGAAAAGCAGACCAAAAGATCCAACAGATTTAAACTTTGAGGTATGATTTGAACCAAGTGAATGGTTCCTTCCAGTATTATCAGAATATTTACAATAATTATATGATTGATATGAAATTTATTATCCGAAAATTTAATAAAATTGATATAAGAAGATGTGGTATGAGTGCCAATGAGACAACTTTCAATCCAAGTCACAATTTCTAAAAGTAAACCATTATAGGTCAAAGTACTGACTTCAACTTATTCAAAATAATTAATACCTTAACTTATTCAAAATAATTAATACCTTAACTTATTCAAAATAATTGAAATGTAAAAACACAGCTCAGCAACATGAACATTAGTGCGTCCTTCAACAATGTGCAAAACCCAACCTCATAGCAAATATTAAACATTTTATAACATTAAACTAATTTGTTTATTACACTAAATATACAGTGTAATGTAATAGTATTTAAACAGTTATACAATAGTTGCTATAAAAGGTTCAAATTTAGTGCCATATATATGTGCATAGATATATATGCTTGTTTGCCATTTTGGCATTACAGAATTGTTATTATTAGAGCTTTCTGTTTATATTGTTTTGTATATGCATACCAACAGAAAAATAAAATTAACTAACAATTATGTCATTAGGAAAGATTTATGCAAGTTGAAGCAAAGGAAAAAAATATAATATGAAACAAGTATAACATTTTAAACTTAGTAAAAATAAATTAAATAGTCCTGAGAAGATCTCATGTGTTTATATATGCTTGTTTGCCATTTTGGCATTATAGGATTGTTTTTATTAGTGCTTTCTGTTTATATTGTTTTGTATATGCATACCAACAGTAAAATAAAATATTTGTTAAGTCTGTTTGGTTTTTAGTTATTCATGATTGAGTGATTGTTTAATAAGGGCATGTGGAGTATACGTCTATGAAACAGTTTGTACCAAGACACGTAACACATGAAAATCATGTACGAAATAATATACATATAAATCTTCCATGAGTTACGAAATGGTATACATATAAATCTGCCATGAGGTACCAAATGGCATACATATAAATCTTCCATGATGTACGAAATTGTATATATATAAATCTTCCATGAGGTACAAAATGGTATAACATATAAATCTTCCATGAGGTACGAAATGGTATACATGTAAATCTTCCATGAGGTACGAAATGGCATACATATAAATCTTCCAAGAGGTACGAAATGGTATTACATATAAATCTTCCATGAGGTACGAAATGGCATACATATAAATCTTATATGAGGTACGAAATGGTATTACATATAAATCTTCCATGACGTACGAAATGACATACATGTTAATATTCCATGAGGTACGAAATGGTCAAGGTACGAAATGGTTATTGCCAGGGTACGCAATGGGAGGTACGAAATGGTCAAGGTACAAAATGACTATAATTCAAACCATAGAGGACCTAAAGTATACCTAATGATTTCTAAACTTTTTATATAAGCAATGAAAAAAATATCTGTATTTTAATGCTAGAACCTAATTAGTGGCTACTGTGCAAGTGATATACCCGGGGTCTGATAGTCTGCTAACAAAGGTTTCAGTGATGGTTTTTTTTTTGGGGGGGGGGGGGGTGACAGATATTAGAAAATTAATAAAAACATAGAAGAGAGCATACAGAAAGGACAAGAAGAATAAGATTTCTGAGAACAAAAATATGCTTCTTCATCAAGTCACTCTACCCCGTATCTTATATAAGAGGATTTCGTTAAAAAAAAGTTTTTTTTCATTCCATATACGGGATAGAATGAGGATCAGTATATAAGAAAAAGACACTTCTTTTAGAAATTGTTGTAAACATAAAAAGACACTTTTTCTTTTATAGAAATGATTGTATATATACTGATCCTCATTCTATCCCGTATCTTAAAAAAAAGACACTTATTTTAGAAATCGTCGTAAATATACTGATCCTCATTCTATCCCTTATATGGAATGAAAAGATACTTTTTAGCTCACCTGGCCCAAAGGGCCAAGTGAGCTTTTCTCATCACTTGGCGTCCGTCGTTCGTCGTCGTCGTTAACTTTTACAAAAATCTTCTCCTCTGAAACTACTTGGCCAAATTAAACCAAACTTGGCCACAATCATCATTGGGGTATCTAGTTTAAAAAATGTGTCCGGTGCCCAGGCCAACCAACCAAGATGGCTGCCATGGCTAAAAATAGAACATAGGGGTAAAATGTAGATTTTGGCTTATATCTCTGAAACCAAAGCATTTAGAGCAAATCTGACATTGGGTAAAATTGTTAATCAGGTCAAGATCTATCTGCCCTGAAATTTTCAGATGAATCGGACAACCCGTTGTTGGGTTGCTGCCCCTGAATTGGTTGTTTTAAGGAAATTTTGCCGTTTTTGGTTATTATCTTGAATATTATTATAGATAGAGATAAACTGTAAACAGCAATAATGTTCAGCAAAGTAAGATCTACAAATAAGTCAACATGACCAAAATGTCAGTTGACCCCTTAAGGAGTTATTGCCCTTTATAGTCAATTTTTAACAATTTTTCGTAAATTTTTGTAATCTTTTACAAAAATCTTCTCCTCTGAAACTACTAAGACAAATTTAACCAAACTTGTCCACATTCATCATAAGGGCATCTAGATTAAAAAATGTGTCCGATGACCCCGCACGCGAACCAAGATGGCCGACATTGCTAAAAAATAGTACATAGGGTAAAATGCAGTTTTTGGCTCATATCTCTGAAACCAAAGCATTTAGAGCAAATCTGACGAGGATAAAATTGTTCATTAGGTCCAGATCTATCTGCCCTGAAATTTTCAGACCAATCAGGCAACACGTTGTTGGGTTGCTGCCCCTGAATTGATAATTTTAAGAAAATTTTGCAGCTTTTGGTTATTATCTTGAATATTATTATAGATAGAGATAAACTGTAAACAGCAATAATGTACAGCAAAGTAAGATCTACAAATAAGTCAACATGACCAAAATTGTCAATTGACCCCTTAAGGAGTTATTGCCCTTTATAGTCAATTTTTTTCAATTTTACAAAATATTTTCCACTGTAACTACTGGGCCAAGTTCATTATAGATAGAGATAATTGTAAGCAGCAAGAATGTTCAGTAAAGTAAGATCTACAAACACATCACCATCACCAAAACACAATTTTGTCATGAATCCATCTGTGTCCTTTGCTTAATATGCACATAGACCAAGGTGAGCGACACAGGCTCTTTAGAGCCTCTAGTTTTAGAGAAATTCTCTTTATATATCAGGGCCGTAACTAGGGTACGAATTCAGGGAAGGCAGGAATTTGGGGGCCGCCGATTGAGGCCCCCAGAGAGGTTGGGGGTTCGGGGGGCGAAGCCCCAGCCGATTGTTTTTTTTTCTCAGTAAAATGGCTAAAAATGATCAGTTTTCCTTCGATTTCCATGTTTTAAGACTCAACAGTATTGCTTGAACCTGGAAGCAATTTTTACGCAAAACAAACTGAGACTGCTGTTCGGGTGAGCTAAGGCTCCATGCAAGTGTTGAAGGCTGTACTTTGACCTATAATTATTAACTTTAAATACATTGTGACTTGGATGGAGAGTAACAGTTATCTCATTGGCCACACGACAAAAAAAAATAAACAAAATACTGGAATAGGGAATTGCAAGGCCATTTCATGGCAGGCTGTTCTGAGGGATATGTTTAGATCTGAGCGAACAGTTCACTGACTCCAGTCTGGTAGATTTTGTCTCTTTGAAACATTTCTTGTTTGTCATAATTATGGTTTATCTGTTATGTATTTGACGTACCTTAGTAACTTAATTTTTAAACCTATGGTTGCTAAGATAAAACAACGAATTCATTATCAAATTTTACAGGAACAAAATTCATATATTATGGAATCATCAAAATTATCATTTTTCAACATTATTGTTTTTCAAATAAACGTGCACACTATGTTGATCAATTGATTATGTGGAAAGATAGGGCAACTTTGGTAAAACTTGGCTAAGTGCACACAAACTTGAAATTGAAAGAGGCAGGTACCTGCGAGTTAACAGAGAAGAAAGGTTGTGCAAATTATGTCATATTAATAATATAGAAGACGAAAAACATTTTATCTTGCACTGTACAAAATATGAATCACAAAGAAATGTACTTTTATCAAAATTGTCCAATTTTAAAAATTGTGACAAACAATTCAAAACTGAGGATGAATATATCAAACTACAACTTAATAGTAAGACTTAGTGTAGAAAAACACTTAGATTGATACAATCTTTTATTAATCAATCATTTGAATATTAAGGAAAATGGATAGAATGAGGATCAGTATATATATAAGACGATTTATGTAAGATACAGGATAGAATGAGGATCAGTATATGTACAATACAAATATTTTATTGGTACAAACTCAATTACAATAATTGGCAACGGCCCATACAACTAGTATACAAATAGTAATGATGCAGCAATTAAACAATACTACATAGCATATTAATAGGCACATTTCGAACAATGAAATTTGCAGTTATATATATATATATATATATATATATATATATATATATTAAATTAAGATCCATTTATTACATCGGTGATCCGTTTATTTGGCAATCGCCAATGGCAGTCAGCAGGGTTTAAGAACATTTGTTGTTCGACCTGTTCGTCAAATGCGTTTTGTTAAAATATACTTTTTCACTTTTTTGGTCTTTTGGAAAATGTTGTTTGTGCTGTATTTAGACCCCTCTAACAAGAAATTTGTTTTGCATGCACACGTATAAAAATTGCGGTTTTTATCCAACGCAATCATAGGTTTGAACGTTGTTTTCAATTTAGACTTGTTTATATTTTTTCGTTTGGGCTTGTATTATATTTGCCTTAGGGTTTATATAATCCGTTCATCCTAATTTGACTCCTCAAAATTCAAGAGTCTATCCTAAATTGAGGTAAATTGTTGGGCTTTCCAAATACCTTTTCGATTCCTAACATCACTGAAGAGACATTATTTGTCGAAATCCGGATATGGTGTACAAAAACCTTTGCACCTTTTGGTTGCGGTATAGCATCTTCTCCGCAAGTTCATTGTTTTCTGTTTAGTATTAAATTTAAAATTAAGATCCATTTATTACATCGGTGATCCGTTTATTTGGCAATGGCATTCAGCAGGGTTTAAGAACATTTTATTGTTCGACCTGTTAGTCAAATGCGTTTTGTTAAAATATACTTTTTCACTTTTTTAGTCTTTTGGAAAATGTTTGTGCTGTATTTAGACCCCTCTAACAAGAAATTTGTTTTCCATGCGTGATTGACAAAAATTTAAACAAATTCATAAAAAATATTTAATAACAATGTAAGTGTTTGTAAATGATGTATCAATGCCTTAGAAATAATCCTCTTTGGTTCTTTTTCATGTTCTGAGTATGGTTTTGTCTTGTTCTGCTGTCTGTTTGTTCAAGAATATGCGATGGAATGGCTACAAAACAAGTGTATTACTTTATAAAATAAAATAAGTCTGGTTTGTAAACGTCTCTCAGCTAGTGGTGGCCAACTGATTTAGCATGTTTGTGACACTGCTCGTGTGATCGTAGTTGTTGCTGAGGAATATTATTAATGGGTTATGATTTTGCCATGAAATATGTATATGGGTCAGGATTTCACAAGACTTCAATGTATGAATGGGGGGTGTTTTTGAAATCCCAGCTGCACATCTGTACCAAAAAAACCCATGTTGAGACCCCTCGCCCCCCGTGTAAATATATATATATATAAAATCTTTCCTTTATTACTATATATATAATAAAATATTAATTTTCGCGAACCATTTAGGTCACAGAAATTCCAAAAAATGGCATCAGTAAGGAG